TCCAGCCAGCCTGTCATCCCAAATTGCTAAGGAATCTTAGGAGTGCAGTTCTGCAAAAACTCAGTCACAGACGGGCACAGTGGGTAAATCAYAGCTGGCACTGCTGGCTGTGCATTTACAACCTTTTTTAATATATACAAATGCTGAGACCAGTAATCTACTTCAAAAAAGTACATCACTCATGAAAGTTAGGGCAGGTAATCCACAGAGCAGCAATGACAGTTTGTTTCAGAAATAGAGGCAGGCCATATGTTGAGTGAAGAAAATTCAAGCACTATCTGTATTCAGTTTCTGGGAGGTTGAAAAATACCAGTGAACTGTTAGTTGCTGGCAGCAAAATGAAAAATAAGGCTAAGGGGTCACAACGATCATTTGGGCTTTACTCTGTGGCTCTTCTGACTGTGGGTCTCACAGTGCCTGCATCCGGACAAACTCACTGCAAGTAAGGATCGCGCCCTTTTCTCACCAGCTTCATGTGARGCAAAGTTAGTTTTGCACTCTATAAACATTTTTGTGTCCCAAAGTACATGTAACTGTGAAGAATCCCACAGTGAGGCCACCAGTGTTGACTAACCCATGTCTGACTCCTGCTCTTGTTGTTCCCCAGCTTCAGGTAAGAGGAGAATGTGGCCTCACCTTTGCACTGTATCCTTTGTTCTCTCTTTTGTTGTTGTTGTTGTTGTTGTTGTTGTTGTTGTTGTTTTTTGCCTGAGAATGATCTGTTTCTGTCATTAGCAGATACAACAAGGTCTTGGATCGAATTTGCAAATTGCTTAGTGAACAGGCAGGTAGGATTGAAAATGAAAAAAAGAAAGAGCCTTACTGACTGCTTGTGAGAGCCCTGACGAACAGATTTTTACATTCACTTATTTTGCTTTATCACAGGTACCCTGTGAAATCTTCAGTTATGAGACTGGTAACAAGGCAGCCTGCTCCCCCAGCAGCTGACCCCAGCTGACAAGCTCCTCCATGGCCTTCATTAGCAGAAAATAAGGTACCTTTGTGTGTCGTGGCCCAGCCTGATAGAGACTGTACATCCTGCAGCRGGGCGACACAGCGAGGTCATTAACCCCCTAAGCCTTCCCAGCAAATTAGAACAAGGCCTATTTGAGCCAGGGCGCTGCCCTGTTGATGGGACAGCCTGTCCTGCTGCAAGGATATGGGCATCCTGTAGGATCCTGTAGCAACCTGTAGGACACGTCTGTGTCCTGTACTGCCAAGGACAACGGGACACCTGCAGCTGCGGGTGCTGCCAGGGTGCAGGCTGATTCRTTTGGCACAGAATAGGCAGCTGTGGGTGCCTGTTAAAACTGAGCGTCACAGCGCCAAGCAACTGTGATCCTAAGTAGCTGATCCTAAGTAACCGTGTTTGTACTGAGACCAAAGGTTTGTCACAAACCACGCCGGGAAGCGGGAGGTCCCGCTGCAGCTATCCCTCCCTTTCGTCCCGTTCCAACTGCACAATTCCCAGAGAGCAAAGGGCTGGGCAGTGCAGCACAGTCTTGGATCTGCACCTGCTTCCCACAGGGCTGTGGGACAGCAGAGAGCTCATCCCAACCAGCCGGCCACTCCTGCCCAGGCCTTTCTGCTTGCCCTGGGTGTGCACGGGGCCAGGATCCTGCCCAGGCCCAATCCCAAATTAGGCTCGCCTCAGGGCCTGGGCAATCCAGATTTGGATGTGTGCGGCCCTGGGAAGCACTTAGGCATGACTTAATATTCCTTCATTTGCAGGCAGCGAGGCAGCGAAGAAGCCCTTGGTCCCGTGGCATGCATCTTCCCTCACATCTCGGCCACACTGCTGCAGGTAGGAGAGGCCAAACGGGCCTCCAGACACAGTAGGGGCTGCACGTGTCAAGAGCCAGGGGAAAGGAAAGGCAGTCAGAGAAACCCGAGCAGCTTACGCAGGGAAGGAAGCCAAAGAAAGGCCCCCAAAGAAACACTCTTTTCTTTTCTGTACTCAGAGGCACAGCTCGTATTGGCGGTATTGCTGCCCTCTTCTCAGTGTCTCCCTGCAGGACAAGGGGGAAGAATGTTTGTTAAAGACTGAGCTGTCATTTATTGCCCTGTTTCAGTTAATACTTGGGAAAACTAAATATTCGGGTCATCTAAGGTGATGTTGCAGACTTCTTCCTTACAGTTCCACAATTTCAGTGCTTAGCCTGGTCACTTAAAAAAAAAAAAAAAAAACTAAAAATCCATCAGGAATCTTTTCTCCTCCCAAAGCCATGAGGGCTCTTCTTCTGACTTGCAAAGTGGAACCTAAAAACTCACTAATGGGTTTGCTGCTTCTTAAAATTAAAAAAATGAGTTCAAAGCCACTGGGGAAAGGATATTTATTTCCAAATTTCTAAGAGATTAGTACAAACATGAATAGTAAACAAGTTTTAAAAACTGTTAAAAACAAGTTTAAAAACTGTCCTTGTAAAAGTGCCCTAAAAAAACCAAAAAGGCATAAAACCAAGCACATCTTATTTGCAGAACCTTGACATACGCATGCAAATACATTTGTGTTCATGTCCTTCTAGTGTCTGCTCACAGTTTAAACATTTGTCAAGGATTTTCCACCAAGGTAGTAGCTTAATGAATACAAATTAGGACAAGTATTAAACCCATCAGAAGTTTTGTAAGAAACATGCCTTAAGAATCAAGCCTGTGCTACATTTTGTGTCAATCAGTTTCTAGTATGTGTCATTTGTGAATATAAATGCACTTGAAAAACAGTGTGGCTGATTCCAAGACGTGCCAATTAAAAAAACAGCTCCATTTGAGAACAATATCTTACTACAAACAGCAGTTACTGTTATCTTCTAACAGTTTACTTTATGGATGTTTTATTTGGGAAATACAAATAAGTTTACTTTCCCAAATTTTAAAATTTACGTAGGTAGAAAATCTTTCATTTAGGCATAACAACGTACCAAGATAGAAATAAGTAACTTGGTAAAAACCCATGTGCTTTTCTAAAATGTAAACATTTCAATTAATATTTGTGCAGTTAGTATAGTGTAGTAACAATGGTGACAAGTATCAGAAGAACACTAATTCTAGTAAAAACTTTACAAACATTAGTGAGTGGCCTAGTAAAGAACAGACACACAAGAACAAACAGATAAATTACTAGGAGATCACTTTAGCCACACMAAATAAGGGCACAGAGAGTCTTTTCTTGACAAGGAAAGGCAGTTGTTACTCTTGTCATGCTTGAAGGCAGCTCTCTGATGACCTTCCCTAGAAAAGGATAGAAAAGGTCTATTAAATGCTGTCTTCCTGGGACAAATTATCACACAAAAGATCCTTTGCACTGAGTCAGGCTGAATTATGACCTTCCTTTGTTGGGTGTTGGCAACTTTGAGCACTATGCTTTTTTTGCACTGCCTTTTTTTCATTTTATTTTCATTTTTTATGACCCCAAAATAATTAAATTCCTACCTAGATAACAGAATTATTAGGAAAAGATAATAAAATGAAACCTGGGACTCAGTCATGTATTTATAAAAATGATTGTATAATATTAAGCAAATTCAAACCTGAGGAAATGTTTCTATCCTGCCTGGATGATACAAGGAAAATTAGATCCTAGAAACAAACAAGGAGTTAGGTAAGCTACTTCAGCAGCCCAAGAGCACACATAACATGTGCAGTAAGGAATAGGGTGATCACCTAAATTTACTGTAACAACAACAAAAGAGAATCTTATGTTTTTTATCCTGTTTCTTCCACACAAGAAAGAACAAGTGTGCTCTCTCTCTCACACTTCAGTTTTGTCTTTTCAAACCTCTGTAGCAACAAACCAAACTGTGCTATTAAAGCAGCCTCAAAGCTGTGAGCTCTGGGAAGGGGAATACTCTGTAAGTACATTATGTTCTAGCTTGAAYACTTCTTCTAAAGAAAACACTAATTTTCACTTTGACAGCCCTCTGAGAGGAATTTGTTTTTTCTCCTTTCCTCACAGCTCTGCCTCAGTAGCAGAAACCATTTTGCTGCTTCTGTTAAAGAAGAGCAGTGCTGTCCGAATATCCCGCTGCCATGTAAGTTTGTCGTGCATGGGAAACAAAGGTTCTCCACTAAAATCTCCATGGCTGATCTGGTCTGGGACTCCCTGCACACGCATCCTTCCCCCATCCCACCTGTGTGGCACATGGGAGGGACAAGAGGCAGGAGCTCCTGTCTGCAGGATGGATCCGAGCTCCACAGGCACCACAGACAGCAGCAGCAGCCAGCACTAAGGCCACRGAGTTGGGGAGTATCCCGTATTTTGGATCTGTGCTGAAAACAGTTACAGAGAATGCAATTACAGAGCATCTCAGCTCCTCGCTCCCTGCAGCACTTCTGGCACTACCTCAGCAGCAGCAACTGAAAAAGCCTCAGGACAGACAAGGCCAAAATTATGTGCAGTGTGATACTGAGCACAGCCTGTTTTTAAGGAGGTTCTTGCCAGGGCTGCGAGGGAGTCACCCAGACACATGGCAATGCCGGAGCTCTGCTCTGCTTCCTGGAGCGGGGCACAGGGCTGTTCCTGTCGCACACACGGCAGCCTCATGCACTGCTGACCATGAACAAGACCGGACCGGAGCCCCAGAGCTCCCAGGAGCAGCCAGCAGAACCGGCACTAGGGACATGGGTGAGCCCTGTCCCCGCGGCTCCCTCGCGAGGCGGTTACCTCCGCTCAGAGCAGAGCACAGGACCGCGGCTCTCGGAAGGGGTTGCTCCCGGCGGGCACTCCGACAAGCAGCGCGTCCTTGCAGGCGTTCTGCACGCAGTACTGCCGGAGCTCCGCGGCCGCCTGCGACACCTGCGGGACAAGGGAGCGAGGGAGCGCCGGAGCCGCAGGGAGCATCGGATCCGCAGGGAGTGCCTCCCTTCGTGGCGGGCATCTCCTTTCAGAGGAGCACGACCAAGCAGAGCCACTTGCAGCAAAGAGCAACACGGA